CTTCTTGCTTAAGTGAAAGATTTTTCTCCCTACTTAGATCTTAGCAAGATTAAAAAAATATGTATACACAGATACATATTTTGATGGCAGAACTGCTGATCCTGTATGTATAAGAATAGTTAAATTTATAATCATCAGCACAAAAATTACCTGGGAGTTAATCAGTATGAATTCATGGCCATTCCTTTTCCAAGTGTATACGCTTCTGGCTAAGTATATTAAGAGAATTGTAATAAGTTACTGTCCTGGGATGTCTCTATTAAGTTTTGATTGGGTAAGTGAGATATACGGGTCCAAAGAACCGGAATGATATGGAAGCTTATTTGAAATAAGAAAGAGAATGGGAAGCAGCTATTAATTCATCCTATTAGAGATGGGTTCATGCTATAGACAAGTAGCACAAGAATTTGCCTGTTTAGCTTGCTTGGTGATTGCTGGAAAAATTCAGATTTTGATTAATTTTCTTACACAATGATGTCATACAGAGTTGAGATAAATTTCATAGAAGCATGCTGTGGTTTTGATTGACAAATAAAAACACATTATTGAGTTTTTCCTGTAGACAGCTGGTAGAGACACTGTTATTATGGGCACCTTCTTTTCCTGGCAGAAAAAAACCTCTAAGATACGAGGCAGGTTTTGTCTACTATTGAATTATGGAGCCAGTCTGGAGAAAACAAATTGGAAATGAGTGTGCTTACTGTACTTCCAGCAATGTATGGCATGGGCATGGCATTTCCCACTACAACCCCACAAGCACTGCTACTGGTTCTCTTGATACAAGAAGCTTAACCAACAATTAGACATTAAACAAAGCAATTTTCAGGAGAAAGAAACAAGAAATACAGCAATTATTGCTGTACTTAATGAAAATAATTAAAAATCCCCAAACCAAAGCATTCAGAATTAGCAAGTTCAGTCGAACAGATCTTGGTTCTTGTCCAAATACTCACAACCAGAATTCTCCAAAATACAATCTCTAAACACCCTCTGCCGAGATAGTAACATGGCACTCATTCAGGTGTACTCATTCAATCCTCCACTGAAACTGGAGGATTCTGTTGCTTAGTGGCCTTGAGGAGTTGATAAATATATTACCCTTCAGATCTTAGCATTCAGTGAGAGCACTGAAAACCTTCCTTCACATGCTAACAATATGATTGATATCTTTGAGGGAATAATTGGCAATATATTAGCAAATTTTCTGATAGCATAACTAAAACTACACATGTTCACCAAGCAGTTTCTGCTAATCCTCAAGACTTCACAAGTGAATTTAACACATCCGAGTGCAATATCACACGGTTTTGTCAACCAGAGCAGTCATCTCTAGAGTTTATATGAATTTTCTAGAGAAATACTATTCTGATCTAAATCATATATACACCAGTAGCATGAAATATAAACTGGTTCATTCATTATTCTGCTTTTGGAAGTATTCGTATAAACTGATAAAACAAGCCTTCATCTATATCTAATATCAACCTAGCTTTCACTCAATCTTCTGCAAGGACATATCTAATTAATTCCAATGAGTGCCTGAAAAGCATTTTACAAAGGTATCAGCCAGCCACTTCCCCTCCCAAAACCACACCACACATACTTAAAAATATTCATATATATAAAGAGAGAGGAAAAAAAAAAAAAAAGAGAAATATTGCTATGATTTTCTGTTCTTGCCAAGATCACACATGGCTTTATCGCAGCCCACAATAAGTCTCAAAGGGAAAAAATAAATGAAGCTTCAATTCAGTGAAGAGGGAGTAAATGATAACCATCACCACAAAATAAGTCATTAACACTATATTTTGATTCAGCTTCTAAAGCCAGCTGCTACTTAGATGATTTTGATAAAAATCAAAAAAAATGTTAGAAATTTATGAGAAAGAAATAACAGAAGGTAATCATAAAAACTTCAGCTGCTACCTCTGTCACTTTTGCTTTGATTTAGATCAGCTCTTCAAAACTGAGGATTAATCTCCTAAAATGCTTCTAAGAGAGTCATCAAGAATTTATAATAAAAGTGAAAGTCACAGTCAGTACTGGTGAAGTAAAATATATCACTCTGTACTTAAAAATGCCTGAAAAAAGTCAAATACTTGTTCAAGCTGAGAAAGAAACATTAATGCTTGACATGGTTATATTTATTTTACAAAACAAACAGATTTTGAACTGTTAGCAATTTCTTCTTCTTCTAAAGAAGGCAAAAGATGCAACACCATGGTTACATGACAATCTTATTGAACAATTCCTAACTGGATAACAGTCTATGGCTGTTGTAGCCGAATACAAGTTTCAGGCACCAGCATCAAAACATAGACATACTCTGTGCAAATGACCCTGCTACTTGAACAATCTGGCTGTGAATGGAAAAGAAAAAACAAAGTCAAGCAGACCATGTTGATCCACTAACAGCATGTAAAATAGAGGACAAAAATTGTCAGCCAGCAAGCATAAACATGAAACACTTTCTTTGTAACCAAGTAATAAATGAAAACCTATTTTAAATACCTTGTGTCTGGTGACTGTACCCTCCTTGCCATATTTGGAATCCTTGATCTCTATGGCAGTGGAATAAATGCATTTCTTTCAACTCACACATGACATCTGAACTATGAGGCTACGGAAAATTTCAGCCAGAGGGAGCATTTAGTTGGTAGTTCTACATTACTTATTATAGGGGTGACTAAATATGCTCCCTTTGACAGCACATCCTATTTCCAAAGGCTGAAGCATACAGAACTAGGAGATGTGACCTTCTGAAATAGGATAGACTTGAAGCCTTTCTTACATGTTTGCATCTTAATAACCAACCCAATCACATATGGTACAAAACCTAGCATATCACCTTACTTCATATATAACCCGATCCATGATATGCACTATGCATCTATGTTAAATACAACCCTTGGATGAAAGCATATTTGTCGGGAAAACCCTGTCTTATATTCTGTGGGAAACAGCCATTCCTGTGGAGAAGCACTTTTAGGCATAGCTAAGAATAGATCTGTGGAACTTATTTGAATACATAAGTAGTTCTATTTCAGATTGAAGATTTCAGAGTGATTTTATGGCAACAAGCAGGAGCATGGGTCCCTTAGTACTGATGTAGGTTTTAATCAGAAAAGCACTATTTTCTTTTATCGTTTAAGCCAACAGATAATTGCAAATGATGACTTTAAACCAGGCCATTATCAATGCAGAAGCATTTTACACAAAGCTTTACATTTACACAGCTAAAACCTAGAAGAAAAAAATGCAGACTTTTGTACTTACCCAAGAAAAAGTTAGGCAACAGAAAACCGGTAAAGAAGAGAAATTATGATGGGGTTTTCTTGTTAGTTTGGTGTTAGGTGTTTTTTGGGGGCTGGGAGGTGTGCATTCATTTTGTTTTTAAACATTATCTCCTTTTCTTGTTGTTATGACAACCATTCATACTCCCGCAGACTTCCACAAAAGGGTTAGTACAGAAAAACAATACATGTTTTATTCAGCAGCTGTTCAAAAAAGCTAGGAAAAAAAAAACACCACAAAAAACCCAAAACACAAAAAAACAACAACCCAAACCCCATAGCATTGTCCAAGAAAAGTACTGGGCTTCTTCCTAGTCAAATAGCATAACAACACACTCACCTATCCCTAACAACCCCTGAACCCATTTACTACTTCAACCCCTTCAGTCATGTTGGGTAATAAATAGTCTGTGGCTAATTACTCTTGATAGGAGAGCAGGAGTCACTAGGTTAATTTTCACAAACCTAATTGCCAGTAACAGCTGTGGGACTTCTCATGGTCAGGGCCACAAGATTTTAACCCCTAGTTCACAGATTTCAAGACTCTCTAAAAGCCCATCCAGTTCTCGTGTGATAACTGCAACTTCACAGTTAAAGGTAGTAAGCAGTGTTGTGAAATAAACCTTAAGATATCTTTCAGGAAGTGTATGGCAGAATATCTAGGCATCTATTTTCTATTTTTCAGTCTTTGCTGTATATTATGTTTTAATCGGAGGGGAATTAGTCGGTACGAAGGGTGATTTATCAGTTTTACCTGAAAGACATTCATTTTGAAGTTAGGACTGAGTAAAGTCAAAAAGTATGTGATATTGCTGTAAGATAATTATGGTTTGTTCCTTAAAAGAGAATGAATGCACACAGCTTTGGGTATGCATAATGAAGATGTAGTTCTTGAAGCATAGAAATAATCATATTGAGCTCAGCAGACCTGATAACATACTTGCAACGCCGCAGTAAAAGATACTGTCTTTACAATGACTAGGTGCTAATGAAGCCGCATCTGTGCAAGACTCAGTCAGTGATATTCTGCTTTGGACAGAAGGGTTGAGCCATGCAGAATTGGACTCACAGTTCACCAGACTGAAAAAATCGTTGCTTAGAGTGACCTCCCACCACTTGACCTTAGTCAGCTGACAGTTTTAATTTAATTAGTGAATGAAAACTTAAAACCAAGAGTTAGATGCAAATATTTACACTGGCAAAATATATAAGACTATTGAATTAATAACAAAACCAAAAATTTAAACTCTAATCCTCTAATGACTGAAAAATCTGATTGACATACAAAAGACCAACAGTGCCACTGTAGTAGATTATAGCTCCAATTAGCACGGAAATAAATTGCCTATGTAACAGAAGCAAGTATCCCTGCGATGCCTTTGAAGGAATCCTTCAAATTTATGCCGTAGACCTATGTTTTTGGGAAGTGTTGTAGTATTTTGTGATAGCATTTATGATATATCCTTTCAGCTAGAACATTTCAATATTCACATAGTCTATAGAAGAAGTTGTTGATTCAGTTCAGTTGTGTATTCATGCACATGTGCATTCATGCATGCCCTGATTCCTGGACACGTAATTACGCAACTTCAACGTTAAATAACTACAGTTTCATATTTTGTAAGTTGGGATAATATGAATATATTCCGTATGAGGATCTATTGCATGAAGACTTTCAGGTATTAATATTTAAATACTTGCCATGGTATATCCTCTGCCTATGGTTGAAAGTGTATCTTTGCATTGCTGTATCTTGCATCTCAAATACCATATGTAATTCTGGTTCCCATTTTAAGAAAATGGACTTGTAAAACTACAAAAGATGCAAAGAATGACATCAGGAAAGGTGAATGGCATAGAATAGTTTTCAAATGACTGAGTAGCTCGTTACGTTAAAACTGACTGAGTCTTAACCCAGAGATTTCTGGAACCTGGAAATACATGTTATATGCGTATCTGACAGTCTTATTCTTTATGTTCTTCTGTATGATACGCTCATCACCCGTATCAGGGACATGTTACTGGTTAGGTCAACCTTTGCTTTGTTGCAGCACGGCTATTCTAGTTCTTTTTAGATTTACTTTAAAAGTGGCTGAAACCGTAGAGAACCTGAATTTATTTCTGTATTTTCTTTTAAAAATAGGTCTGAGAATACGATTATTCAATTTTTCTCTCAAGCTACTAAGCTGTTTCTTATATATAATTCGTGTGCTTCTGGATGATCCAACACAAGGACTTGCATGGTAATGTTTGTGGATTTTTTATTTTTTATTTCTGCTCTCAAAGCATTGTTTAACTTATCAGAAATTAATATAATGAATAAACATTTGATGGTCTCTCTACAGGGATTTGGTCTTTCAAATATTTTGAAAGAATTATAAAGCTAGTTTTACATTGTGAATGGAAATAAGAACTAAATAGGAACTAAAATAACAGTATACTTTTTTCATTTTACTACTAAAATAATCTTGTCTCTTTCCTCAGATGCTGTGCATCAGATATAGTTGTGCAAACATACATTTTGGTAGTATTATTTCATAACATTCCAATGTATCATATTTCTGAAAATAAAATTGAAAATAATCTGGTTGCCTGCTTACACAGCACTAGTTTTAAGATTTTACTTAAGTAATTTTACTGAAAACCCCAAACCCTGGAAACAGACAGACAAATACATGAAACTGAGCTTTCATGCAGATGACGTTGATGATAATTTTGTAGCCCTCTGCTTTCCCTGTACACGTAGAGGAGAGGGAGACCAAAAGTACATTCTACACTCGTGATGTCCTGTGGTCACAATGTGTGATTGTGCACACCTACAAGTGTCAGGATTCTATATGGGTCAGGTATTCTATATAGGTCATCAGGTACTCTGTTTTTTGGGTTTTTTTTTGTTCATGTCTAACACAATCAACCACCAATTGTAGAAGAAACCATATTTAAAATTTATCCAGTCCTGTACTTCAATTGTATTTTTACCCTGCATATACTGAATCTTCTCAATTTTAGATACTAATAAGCACCTCGTTTTACTGTGCTTTCACTTGATTTGATTCTGTTTGCCTTAAATATGGAAAGAAACAAAGCACAGATTAAATAATTAAGTAAGCTTGGGATGATAGATCTAGCACTTTTCACACAATGTTAGGCAAAGGACCAAGTATGACTTCTAATTTTAATATCTGGAAATCAGTTAAACCCGATAAGGGTAGTACTGTAACTAGTACACAGGAGAGTAATACTGTAACTAGTACACAGGAGAAATACTGTATTTTACAAGAATCAAATCAAAAGCAAAGTGGGTAATATCAGCTTTACTCAGCAGAGCATAAGAGAAGGATATGTGAATGGGAGGTATAAGAAGATGCATTTGAGATTTTTTTTTTTTTTGTTAAAATTTATGGTGAGAAATTAGAACATCTGAAAAAGGGCCAAGAAAAAAAAAAATCACAGGAAAAGAACTTCAGAAAACCTATTTTTTTACTCACATGTGTCTTAGAATGATTCTGCAAGGAGAAAAAATGTGTAGGGAGGAAATGAGCAGTACAGATTTCATAAAACCTTTAACAGTGATGGAGAAGAGAAAATCCATCCTTAGTGATTTAGGCATAGTAGCACAGCAACTCAAAGACTTGAAATTTTAGTTATAGGTATTTTCTGGCATGAAGAAGTTGCTGATATTGTTTTGTTATGAGAAATCTAGTGAGCCCAAATAAGCATAACTGCAAGGTTATGTTTGGGTACACAGAACAGATTAGAGCATCAGCATTTCTGCCATAGGTATGCTTCAGAGCTTTTGTATTCATATGCAAAGATTTTTCTGCATCTTGCAGACTACTTAATTGCCGAGACCTTTCCTGACATGTTCCTTCAATCTAAGGAAAAATGTTTGACAATTCACCAGTCAGAGACCATATTCGTACTTTCCCTATGTATTGATATTTTATGATGTGTTGACTAGTATGTTCTACCTCAGTATAACATTTTTCTGGCTGAGAAGTTTCAGATCAGTCACTTCTGCATGCTGAGACCCTAGGTTTCTAAACTTCTAAAAGCCGTCTATGCCAGAAAACCCATCCCTGTGCCCAAATGTTATCTCACTAATGTCACTGGTTTTGTTCATAGAGATCCTGAGAGGTTGATACCTAAACTACTGCCATAAAGCATTCTTACAGATGCAGTGTTATGGAAAAAAAAATCTTTTCTAGATGCTGTGTCACACCCTTCTGAAAGAAACTATTCAGTGTACTAAGGGCATGGCCACAGAAAACATTATCACCTGGTTGTTTTTTAAAGTGACAGTCGTGGGAGGAATACTTTCCATCACAGACTCCCCCTGCAGATTTATTTCCTGTTTTTCTGAAATGCTTGCCGAAGTTAATATCTTTTATTTACTCCTTCAGGCACAGCAGATGTACAGGGCAGAGCTTAAGACATAAAGCGTTCTTATTAAAGGATACTATTTAGTACCTGTCCCACTCATAGCCAGTAAAAAATACAGCATTTACTAATCTGTGGTCTGCAAATCCTTTTCTTTTCTGTTGACCTTGCTATCCCAGGGCAAACATGGATATTTTTCATCATTTACACAAATATATATTCCCACATCCTTATATGACTCTGAAGGGAGGATTTGTGCCAGCAGTTCCAGGCAAGATAACATCATGTATACATAGCTGTTTTTTTTTCCATAGACATCACCAGTTTCTTACTTGAATTACTGCTACATAAAGCTTCAGCCGTCCTCACATCCTCACAAGAGGATATAAACTGTAGATTGGTGCAGTCTTTCCTGTTGAGAGTGTGGTAGGCATATGTGCTCTTTCTATCCCAGCCTATCCATGTCATAGGATTTTAGTCTCCCTGGATCTCCATATTAATGTGCACTTAGTTCAGCTTTTGAAAGTATAATTTCAGTTATTTTATTTTTAATTTGGAACACCTTTGAAAATAAATCTTAAAAGAATGTAGCCTGAAATGCTTCATAGTCCTTTATCTACAAATACAGAGCACATACAGAACTACTTTCTAAAAGTTATTTCACTTTAAAACATGTCTATATCCATTACTTAGGGTTTCAAACTATTGCATGCATTTTATAGAACACTTAATAATGTGATTAATAACCTTTTGCTCCCATATGTTGTTATAATCATGTTCCCAAATACATTTGCTAATGAAAATGGACTTTGCATGAATGGGATGGCAACTATCAGTAAGGAATTAAACCGGAGATGTTCCAATCAAAACTACACACCTGGAGCGATTGATTGGTGAGTTCCCAATTTAAAAAGCAAACAAAAAATCCACCTAATGCTGGCAAGGGGAGGAAAACAGGAAGACAAATTCATTTCCATCTGGAATGGTGGAATTTCAACATGCAATAGTGATGTGTCCTCAAGCAATTAATTATGTTTCTAAATACTCAAAACTGCCTTTAATATTTTCATTGTTTCAGTGATTGGATGCTCTTGTAAAATCTGAATTCCCTCAGTGTTTGACCTTGTTGAAAAAGAAATGGATGCCCTTATTTAAAAAACAATTATGACTAGTGATAAATGATTACCAGTAAACTACTGTGTCAGATTCCAGTAGTACTTTATTAAGTACCTATTATCATTGAATTTAGTAAGCGCCAAGACAACATGAGATTTTTCCAAGATATGACAGCCCCTATGAGATAACATTTTTATTGCTGCAAAGCTAGCAGAACGTTTACAAAAAAGAATTGTCAAGTTTATTTTTCCTACCACAAAGGATTATTCCCCTGCATCTCTAGAATCAAAAGCACAAACTGATTTATAATTTCTGGACTCATAGGGCATGCAGTAGCAACCAGTGATACCACTAAAAGATTCTGGTGTTACTGGTTTTGGATTACTCCCATGGGAAATCAATGACTGGCTCTGGAGTAGAAATACAGGCAATGTCAATGCTCAGTAGAAAGCTACTAATTAAATATCTTTATTACTGAGGGGTTTTTTATTTGTTTAAATAAGGCTGCTCTAATTTCCATTCAAATGTACAGATTTCTTCCTTGATTTTGTTCCAAACATTTATCAGATTTTGATTAATTTCATATTTATTTTCTCATTGTAATAAACAGGTCTCCTATTATTTGGGTGAATCGAAGCTTGCCCTTATGGGGATTACAGGTAATATTTAAATGGCCAATTTAACTCTTTCTGTTTAATAACTGTAGACAATATTGATTTATTGCATTTTAATTATGTTAAAGGATACTTGCAAAAGTTGATATTAACACAGAAATCTACTTGATGACCAAGTACAAGAAAAGCATAAAGTAAAGATAAGTTGAGCTAAGTGATTTAAATTTATATGGCTTTAGAATATGAAGGATTAATACTTAAAATACTGTGGAATTAGGTAGCCTTCTGTCTTAGAATTATCAAGCTCTGTTGAGTCAAACAGTGAGTGTTTGCTTCAGTGATGAGTTTAAATTTCATAATTGCTTATGACATGCTTCACGAGCTTTCTTGTTAAATAAACTAGAAATATAAAGTTACTTTCGTAAAATAGAAGCCCATACGTTTAGAGGAGTATGTTCCAAAAGATACACTACATCAGTGCGTTGTGGATTGGATATCATTTGAAGTTTCTTCAGTCTTCAGTGTCCTGAAGCCTGCTCATTTTGAGAACACTTTTTTTTTTTCCTACTTGTGCACAGCACTGTGGGAATTCTCCCTGTGAAATGTGTTTTTTTACTAAGAATTCCTTAAGCTTCCAGAATGGTCATACCATTACCTTTTGTCACCATGCATAGTGGAATTCCATTACAGCGGTTTGTACCTC